TACTGGAAAAGACCAGAGTTAATAACTCATGCAATAGGACATACGAATATAAAAGATGTCTTACGTGATAAAAATCGTTATGGTTATAATCTCAATCAACTGAAAAGAATGAAAATACTAATTAAGCGTACCACCGAGGAAATTCGAAGGCTTAGATGGTGTGTGTGTGTGGAGGGGGTGAACATGCCATACCACCTCCCCCCTCCCCCCCCCCCCCCAAAAAAAAAAATGCTTCCCACTGCATTGGATTTCTTTTAATGATGATGCGTGATGATAATACCGCCCGCGCATGCACCTATAAATTACATATATGTGTACATAATAGTTATAGCTCCGGGTGTGACATGTCTCAACTGACGCAGTCTGATTGCTGACTTCCTCACCGTTCCATGTGCTATGCATTTGCTATCGAAAAAGAAAAACGAACGATCACGCGGCATGAACAGTTCATTTTTACCACTGAAAATAACAGATACAAACGCATTAAGACGAAATTAGCATGATACTGTAAGTTTGCCTGAGACACATGCTAGCCTCAGCTAGTATGAGAAAAGAGATGTCCGCAAGCACTCCAATATGTATTGGCTGAGCACGGAGCTTCTCTCATTCGCTCCTTCTTTGCCACAAATAAAAACACAACAGTACAAACGTAGCATTATCATTTCAAGTCGCACTCGAATTAATATACAATGCCGAATAACCCTGGGGTTCAAATTTTAGTTTGTATCGAATATATGTATCGAATATTGAAACTCAAAGTATGGCTGTCGCATATAAGTATGGTAAGATATTAATGAGGTAAATGGACTTTATGATAATCTAACAACCTTTCAGTACATCTAATGAATTGTAAGGTCGGTTTGTGAAGTCTTTTCAGTAGAATAATCTTCTAAATCTTATTGATTGCATAGAATAATTGACTACGTGCATCAATCTGTAAATTACGTTAATAATTTAGAAATGTTTCGTGAGGCGTGACCAAGTGTTATGGTGTATGTGTGCTTCGTATGTACATGTAACAATGCAATATGTTCATAGAGGCATGCAGCTGTTATACATACATGTAGCATAAAAAAGCAAAATTGTTCAAGATTTTTCAAATCACCGAGTTACATATATCAGTGCCTTGTCCAAAACTATCATCCCGTTTTCGAGCTGTAAATTCTCAACCTTTGCTGTAATGACTGAAATTTCACCTTCATCGCCATGAAAGGAGGGGCTTAAATTTATACCAATAACTCAACACTCGGGTTAAAATCGTAATTTAGCAGCAGTTCTAGATATGCCATATCGTGATATTTAAAAATGGGAAAGTGTCGAAATTCCAAGAAAACTATTTGCTATGTAAAGATATGTAACGCTTGTCATTTAACTTTACTTTAAACGGCAGCGAACCAGAGGAAGGTAGGTTGTTAAAGTACTTCATTTATATTAATGTTCTCATAGTCAGTATTTGTTTAGATATGAGCAAAAGAGAAAAGTCATAACAGGCTGCCAGTTCAAAATATTTGCTTATCCTCGGGTTTTGGTTTCATGTAATGGAGATATTGAAAATGTACGTATAATCAGGCTGGCAGTTCACAATGCTTACCAGTATTATGTAAGAGTAGACAATCAATGGTAAATAAATAAATCGAGACTAGACTCGGTTTCTCCTTATGTGGCGAAGAGAAAATGTATATAACACCAGTTTGCTTGAAACCTTTTGAAAAAAAATCATGCTCAGTTTTATGGACGTATTTAACAAGCTCAGGAGACGGCTAAAATAATCCCATCAAGCCCAAAAATACACGACCAAAATTACAGTCTCTGGCGCTCATGCGGCGTAGTGTATATAGCTCTGAAGTAACACGAGAGTACGGTTCAACTTTTGCACTGCTTTTCAATCGCCTTGTTATCGATTTCTTCCTAGGTATTCCCAGGGTTTTTGAAGTTAGATTGACCAGACATAATTACCATTGACAAATTGGCACCTTGCCGGGATTGTGCGGACAACTACCATACGTTTAGTTTAACTTCAGCTCATGTAATAATCGCATTGGATTGTATACAACCTAGTAACAGATATTCTTTGTATATATACGAAATAAACCTGATGCATACATATACAGATAGTCACAGTGGGCCTCTATGAATAGCCTAGGACCCACTAAAAATTTATTAAATGGGTCCTACATATGGGAATAGCGCACAACAATGAGGGGTGGTGGGTGGGGCTGGATTGTCCGTTACTTGGGCAACGCCCGGCACTTCATTTCCCTGGAAAAGGGACCGTAAACTTTACACCCTACGCATATTATGTCCATTCTTACAACTTTTCTTTTTTTTACCTATCAGTGATGTTCTGTTATGAAAAAAGAATAGATAAATTATGAAATTAACCATTTTTATTGGATTCGTTACTACAAAATCCACACTGCTATGCATCCGGTTAGGAGTTAATACGCTAAAAACTCTTATGTCTCCTTGATCTTAACTGATTTAAGTAATAGGACATGTCATTTAAGAGAGTGGAACAAACTCAAGGAAGATGTTTGAAATTTGGCCGTTGACGGCCGCATTTATTGAAGGTCCCATTAATAAAAAGAAATTTATCAACAACGAGGGCACTGGCTGTCACAGAACGCTTCATAAATTTACGCCTTTTGCAGATTTTCCACCTTTTTAAATTAAAATTAAGCAACGATTGCATTTGTGCCTTTTAACCGCCCTAATTTTGTATACCACGGCCTTTTCTAATACCACTTGCTGTATAACTCTTGAAAAATACTTCTCTTTTCTTAATGTTTTAACATTTAAAATAGTTTCAACTGTCCTCCACACGTACTTTTGATATATCGTGTTAGACAAGAAGCAACGGGAAAATCCTTAAGGCTCTACACGCATTGGGCTTGGGTTAATAAGTTTTCAAGTTCTGGTGAAGATGTGTATAGTAGGCCTACATGTATGACCTAACTGGAGGAGGATCCAAATAGAGTTATTTACAAGTAGAAAGGGACCGCACATTCAGTATAAATCAAAAGCCCTCGACACGATCGAGGAGAGATTGAACATTATAATTTCACCAATGAGACATCGGATTACTTGTGGAAAACTAGCTTAGGCGAAATCAATAGGTGTATTCTCTGGACTGCGGCTTGTCAATACATATAGTGAAGGGCAGTCACATAGCTAGCATGGGAGCTCATAGTATGTTATCATAATAATATTACAGTACTATTGTTGAGAAGGGTCGATAAAGTGCCCACATATTCCATTATGCATCGCAGCAGTCACTGAATATGAAACCATTGTGGGGCCATTTTTAGTTTGAACTAGTGGTGCATTAGCCTTATACTATGGTTCGGCTGATTGAACTACCTTTTGTCCCTGCCTCGCAGCCTCCGACATTGACCATTTAACTGCCAGGGTTACTACCCAAATAAAACCAAAATAGAGAACGTGTGTTCACTTAATCCTTATTGACCAATCCTCCCCTTTGCTGTGGCCTGTTCATTTATTCATTCACTATTTAATTATAAAAGAAAAGTTGACTTTGCACCAAGTGATAAGGCAACACCGTAAAATACTCTATGTAATAATAAAAGCGACGAGCAAAGAGAATACCGGGTACCTTTTGATAATGTCAATTCTAACGGTTCCTTAAATTTATATTTCTTTTGTCATCTTGCTTTTCATTTAAGTCAGATCTTATCACAATTAAAATAGTTTTTTTTTTTTTGGCAATTATTCAGTAGTTTCTATTGCATTACTTTCATAAGTAGATAAATGCATGCGGTTTTATCATCAAACTTGATTCTTTTGAAATAGTTGTTATGGATTTAGCGACAAGAAAACCAAGATGAGTCTATATGTAATTTGATAGCTGCTAAAGTCCAACACTCCTATCCATTTAATATAGTCCTTTTTGTAGAAACAAGATCATGACAAATTTCTGTGTACAGTTCGACATTCTATCTCCGAAATTCCTTCACCAAATCAGCTAAAGGATTGGTTTACATTTGCCGAGCGATTTGATCCATCTTTCTCCCATGGTTTGCATGTTAACATACAGGTTATTCATCCCCCTCAGTGTACATCATTTTCTTTACGGTGCTGCAGACAGCACTTATTATCTGGTGAAAATGCTAGAGCCACAGGATATTTTTAGGTATCATCCCCACTAACAAATACATAATTTAAGTTTTTTTTTTCAAGAACAAAGTATAATGTATAAAACATAGTATAGGCCTACAGTGGATGGTTGAACCTCAAGCCGTCAGTAGCAACATACACACGTAGGCCTATTTAATGGGTTGAAAAAGAGACTCGAATACACCCGCTGTAACATTGACAAAACCTATCATACATCAATCATACATATCAACATCGCTTTTATGAATAAGTGGCAGCCGTCCCTTGTTCATTGACTTCGAAACAAATTCGTTGACCAACCACTTTCATATAAATGGCAGGCATTACAATTGGCGAAGTTATACTGACCACAAATTTCTGGTCAAGTAGCCTCTTTAAATGTAATTTGTATTATGTCTGTATTTGTATTATTTATTTCTATATTTCCCCTTTTCATCGTTAAAAGAAGTTAAGATGCTCTCAAACACGGGTTGCTATTGAATCCAGCCTCGGAGATGGACATCGATTCCAACTCCTTTCTCACGATTAAGGTGCTCATTACATAATACAATCGGACATTACTCTACAAACATTACTGACAAGAACAGCCAAGCTTGTTTGCCTTCCCAAACGTCACGGGTCACGGTGACATGCTGAATCGGGATTTATCGTGGAAACTTGCGCATGTCGACTCTATACACAGCATGTGCACTATGTGTTGTTCATTTGTTTGACCGTCACTTTGGTTTTCATACGGTTCGTTGCATTCAGTCAGCCGCACTAGATGGCGCTTTGTGATCAATTACATAACAGAAATAACTATCACATTGTGTGTAACGTTCTCGTTGTCCTCGGCTCTATGGCAACCCAGTGTTGACACGAGCAACGTAAAAGATTTTCTGTCCACTTCTCAAGAAGAATTTGAACACAGCGGAGGCGTTTTTGCAGTAGCGGTCACTTAAAGACTCGGCAAACATGGCAAAAGTACTGGCTATATGTATGGTTTTGGTGGCTACATTTGCTCTCAGTAAGTAGACTTCCACACGCAAAATTTATAATTCATTTACTTCTGACTATGAAACCCTGGCATCAGTATGAACTATAACTTAAACTTACAAGCTGAAAAAATTCCGAGTCATACAAATAGCAATGTCAAATATTGAGATTGTGGAGTTTTTGTATTCTATTTCTCCCACTTTTCTGCTTTATTTATTTTTATTTTATTTTAACAAAAAATCACATCATCAATATTTGACACAATGTCTCACAACAGAAAATGAAAAGTTTAAACGTACCGGTATTCAACACAATGTTTGTTACGTATGAAAAATGTGATAGGTTTTTAAGGCGAAAACCACCAGAAAAAAATCTATCCTTTTCTATTCTGTTATTTCTTTTTTAATTTCTATCCTCTAATTATTGCTATGTGGTCATTAATATCGAATTTTTCTTATTTCATCCAGGTGCAGGATTGTCATGCATGTCTTGCTCATCTCCATTAAGCACTAACAGTGCGTGCCAGGAGAACCCCACGTCAACCACCACAATCAACTGCACCACTGGCTTTTGCAAGAAAACTTTTGTCGAAACAGACACCTTTGGAATCAGTAAGTAACATTTCAAAGGCTGGCGCACATAGCACCCCCCCCTTCAGTTTATGAAAAATATAACACACCAATATTCCCCTCTTGAAATTATAATTTTGACTAGCTAAATGATAGATCTAAACCGTACCAAGGGGCACTGTTTGCTCTCCAAAATACCAAAAAAATTCTGGCGCACTTGAGCAGATCCTGAATCCTACCGGTATTACAAGGAGGCAATGGTCGGCTTCGCATCCGAGCCCTGTCGCTCCGGACCCCCCCCCCCCCCTTCAAATACTCCTGGATCCGCCCCTGACATAGCATACAGAAATATTTAAGAGAAGACAACTCTTCATTTTGTCAGGAAAAGTTCCCTAAAACGGACTTTCGTGGGCTTAACGACAATTTTCACATACATTGTACATGTATTATCCATTGGTTTTTGTAATAATATGTGTCCTCTTAAGAGATTATTACGGAGTGTAGCCATCTATAAATGAAGATCCAAGTGGTCTGATGGCAAACACAGATTTCAGAATTATTGTGATAACCCCCGTTTTGGTTGACGAATTATATTTATTATATTTGTAAGTGTTGTTTACAATATAGTTATTGTGGAACATTGAATCTCATATGAAGAGTTGTTATCCCTTTAAACATAATGTTTTGTGCAAACTCATCTTTAAAAGATAATCTTATTATTAACGAAAGATAGTTACACTGTAAAAACACAGTGGAAGTTAGTCAAGCTTTCGAACCATTCAGTAGACCTTGGTCACAATATTTTCCACTAGATGTCACTGCGGATTTTGAAATTTGAGGGCCTGGGGACCAGGTCTTGAGATTCAAAACAGCGTAGATTTAGTACATTAACATCTGAGGCACCATTCCATATTAATGTAGACAATCCAGTTCACAATATAATATATTTGACAAACAGAACGTGGATATTTTTGTCGTGGATCGAGCCTTCAAATTCTCCGACAGTGTCCGCAGTGACATAATGACGTGATTTTAGGTGTTGTGAATAAAGCAAAAGCTTGTCAGACTCTCAGTTTGTTTATGTAGTGTAATAATGATATGCAATATCAGTGTAGAAAATCAAAAAAGCTACATATCACGCTTAACATCATTTTGAAGTTTAATTGAGTTTAGGTGATAACGTGCAACCTTTTTTTCTGTACAGAAACCAAATCTTGGACCAGAGAATGTGGATCTTCCGGTGCCTCTGCTGGCTGCAGCAAAGGTACTATCTTAGGAATTACCACCACTACTTGCCACTGCTCGACCGACAGCTGTAACGGAGCCACCAGCACCAGCCCGCTAGCCACTGTTCTTCTGGCTGTCAGCGCCTTTGTACCCATCATTCTTCAGTATGGTCTGCACTAATGTGACCAGCTATCACATATCATCACCTTTTGATACAGATGAAAAGATGCAGCAACGTAAAAAAAGGAGGAGCGAAGACCGAACTAGAGTATTTCTTTTTTCAAATCCCTACGAAATGCAGGCTCTTATCGTCTCCATACAGAATGCAGACTAAAAACCGAACTCACCCAATCAAAGTATATTATCGTTCCTGTAAATCTGGAATGATTGCTTTGAGGACATTTTCGTTTTATTCTCTTTTTTGACTATGCACGCTGATGCACAGATCTCCAAATGGATACAAAACCCCAAACTAAGTGGTGTCAGTTCTAAGCTCAAACTATGCATGGCATTTTCGTGTATATATACATGCCTATCATTGTGATACAGTAATAGTGTACAGGTATATTTTGTGATCAATGAGTAATTTCCTTTATTACATAGTTAACGCAATGTAGACCCTTTATATTAATGAATCCAGCAATCTATCTACTGTATATTGTCATATCTGTTTGAAATAAAGTCCAGTCTGTGATATGGTTAATTCACGGTTGTTCGCATTGATGGATACGTTATATTCAGCTATGGTAATGACATTGGATCAAATATTGATACTATGGTGTTACGGCCCAAGCATATCAAAAACAATGATACCAAAGAAAGTGGTGAAAAGACACCGAATCCCGGTCGGAGAGGCCTCCTGACCACCCACAGTTCATTAGACCTGTTCAGTGGCATCAACAGGAATCATGTGAGCAGTTGAGAAGTTGGGGGTATTTCCTAAAGGCTATATACAGCTGACGTCACCTGTAGGCGCATCCAATATTTTGCTAGAAGAGATGTGGGGGGGGGGGGGGGGG